TCTTAAACTGTAATCTGTTTTTCAACTGTTTTCCCCTTCCTCTTTGTACATAGTAGTTATTTTAGTTTAGTTGAGTTTTACTAGTCTTAGTTGAGAGTGTTAAACTGGAATATGTTTGACTTGGAGCTGAATGATTTTTGTTAATAAACTCTTATATTTTGAACAGAAGTTGTGGTGAATTTTTTCCATGTATGTGCAGAATTAACTGTTTGACCGTGATTAGTGCTCGAATCACTCTTTCATCTATTGTTCTAACACACAGTTACAATAGTATGGCTGTGTGTCATAAACAGTATATAAACGCTGAAATAATATCTGATTAAGGCCCCGTCCACACGAAGCCAAACCCTGGCATAACGCACAAATTTTTCACCAAACCAGCCTCTCATCCACACGAAGCCGGCGTTTCGGGGGTCTGTAAACGATCTTTTTTTTATTTAGCCTTCAGAGTGGAAAGATTTTGAAACGCCATTTTCGCGTTTCCATCTTTAAGCTCTAACCGCATTTTTTTTTTACACGCATGCGTCATAGCGTCGCCTCTAAACGGCATGCGCGACACAGTATCACAACAACAATGGCGCCGTACTGTGTTGAATGGTTGCTGCTCATGCTACTCACCCTGCTGTCAGGCTTACAACAGAATCTTCTTCTTCTGGAATATCTCCAGGAAGAACAGAGCAATATCGACCACATAGTTCAGCACCTGAATTTGACTGAACCACCAAAATGGACCCGCAGGGCAACCATGTATAAATATTAGTGCGCATGCCCAACATTTCGTCGCCTATTTTTGCTTTGGCACCACAGCGCCACTTACAGGCCTGGCATACATTTCGCAGCGTTTTCATGCATTCGTGTGGACGATCCCATTATTTTACATCTCCATCTTTACGACAAACGTTCTGGAAAATATTAGCGTTTCGTGTTCGTTTTGACTTCGTGTGGACGGGGCCTAAATAAGATAGTTAACACCCCTACAGGGGAGGGCAATAAACATTTTAATCAGAAACATAAATTCCCAGCCGGCTGGGAATAGAAAAGAACACAAAATCACAACAGCAACAGAAATAGGACAGTGTTAGTGATCCTCATTTCTTTCCTGACACAAGCAGCTAAAAGCCTTCCACTTATGGGCATACACCACTCGCGTCGAAGGGGCCCTGGCATTAGTCATTGTGTGTCCGATTTCCCCGCCATCCTCTGAGAAGAAAAACGCCGGGCTCTGTAGTGGCCAAACTAAGAGTTGGACGAGACTTGGATTGGGATACAGGATCTGACCCCCAGCTGTGACAGAAGGTCCATCCTGTGGGAAAGAGGCATTGGAGAGCTGCAACAGAGCCTGTGCAGCAGTGGAAACCAAGTCCTCCCTGGCCACTGGGGGGGCACCAGAAGGAGCTGATGCCCCTCCTGAAGCACCCTCAGGAGTGTTGGGCCTATCAGGGGAAGCGGTGGGAATGCATAGAGCAGTGCCCGGGGCCAGTCGTGCAACAGCACGTCCTGACCTAGGGGACTGGCACTGTTTGTCGGGGAGAACCAAAGACGGCAATGTGTCGTCTCTTGGGATGCAAATAGATTCATGGCTGCTTTTCCGAACCTCTTCCAAATAGCCCCCACTACCTCTGGGTGGAGCCTCCACTTCCCCGGTGGTGGACGCTCCCGAGATAGGATGTCGGCCGGAACATTCTGCACCACTGGAATGTGGGCCGCTCTCAGGCTGGCAAAAAGAGGGGCAGCCTAGGTCAAAAGCTTCTGGGTCAGCTTAGGTATTGTCGCCGACAGTGTTTCCCCCTGATGGTTGATGTGAAAAACCGCCGACGTGTTGTCTGAGAGAGGCCGAATGGAAGAACTCTGACTTGAAAATGCTTGCCCTGAATTTCAAAGCGGAGGAACTGCCATCAATGCAATCGGGACATGAAAATATGCGTCCCTCTAGTCGACCAAGGTGAACCAGTCGCCTAGGGAGATTGCCTGAAGCACATCTGTGATGCTCAACAAGTGAATGGGGATGGATTTCAGGAAAAAATTCAGACCTCTCAGGTCCAAAATTGGGCGGAGTCCCCCAGTCTTTTTCGGGACAAAAAAATACTTTGAGTAAAAGCCCCCTGGATCCTGCAGGGGTACAAGCACAGCGGAGCCAAACAACTCTCCAGGAACCACTGAAAGGTCCATCAGGGTCCTTCGACACGCCTCTCCCAACATCTCTGCAACAGACTTCCTTTCCTTCCACAACCTCTGATCTGGCTGTGGTGTCACTGTGTCAGGAATCTAGTTGGGAGGAAGAAATTTAAACGATTAATATCCTGAGTATCAGTAGAACATCTTTCTTCTATGACAGAGACAAACAGATGCAGGCACAGGAAGGCCCCTAACCCTAACACATCCACATGCATGCGAGCCCACGCACACACATATACATTCACATGCATGCACCCGTGCGTGCACTAACAATTCAATTCAATTCAATTCAGTTCACAATTCAATTCACAACACATGTCATCTCAAGGCACTTTACAGTTCAACCAGATCATACAGTCAAATTGATACAAAGTTTTCTATTTAAGGAAAACCAGTTGATTGCATCGACTCAAATACAATCCCTTACACTAAGCATGCTTGTAGCGACAGTGGAAAGGAAAAACTCCCTTTAAACAGGAAGAAACCTCCAGCAGAACCAGGCTCAGTGTGAACGGCCATCTGCCGAGGCCGACCCTTCCAACTAATACAGGTCCACCCGTTCATTACCTTCTTCCATATGCCAGCTGTTGGCTCCTCCGATTACGCTTCTCTGACATGTTGAAGCCGCAGACTCTTTGGTGGCGTCCTTCCTCCAATGTTTTCCTTCGAGTTGTAAACGAAATGGCTCCATACATCCAGGCGTTGTTTAACAAACCGGGAAAAAGGGGTGTTGACGAAATATTTTCGTCATTGTCATGGTTGACGAAATTAACACTGCTCTGGAGCATCCAGCTGCAAACGGGCTAGAGCAGTTCTCAGACTGCCACTATTGAATCATCCTCCTCCAACTGAGAGCCAGAAGAGATATGCGAGCTGGCTTCTGAGAGAAGTGAGCCGGAGTCTTAATGATCCGTAAAATCAGTGGCAGATGCTGCCAGAGAAATAGCATTGTCATCTAAAGCAGATAGTCCTGAACCAACACTCTGCTCTTGGTCAGGGTCTCCAGTCATGCTAGAGCGACGCTCTGCCCTAAGGGATTCGAGCAGCGCTTTCATCCCCTCCAGCTCAGAAGCGAGCTGGGCCACTTGCCCAGATATGCCCTCTGAAAACCTGGAGCTCCTCTTGCTCCTCTTCTGTGGAGGCCCCATAGCATCGGGAGCCAAGCGTTTTACAGGTGGGCTGGCACCTTGAAGGCCAGCCAAACAAGCATTAGGCAGTGAGGGACAAGGGCAGAACAGAACAATTAGGATAGGCCGCATCAGTAAAGGCCTCTTTAAGGTGATCTAGTCCCAAACAAGCGGGACACAAATCATGCCCGTCCTCCAACTGGAGAGGGGCCAAACAAGCTCTGTAGCATGGCACGTCCAACATGTTACGCTTACAGGGCTAGGTCAGGTCGAGCTGAAATCACAACTCTTGACACTAACCCTAACCGGTCGAGCAGAAAACGCCACCAGGGGTTCCCCAGCAGCAGGGCTGCAAGGAGGAGTAGCCAAGCACGGCAGTGAAAGTAAAAAGCAAGCCCAAAAACTGCTGCCAATAAACAAAAAAGCAAGCCCAAAAAACAGCTGCTATGACTGGTAGGCAAGCCCGAAAGCGGCTGCACAATAAACAAAGTGCAAGCATGGAATACGGCTGCTGTAAGAAAATAAAGGCAAGCCCCAAAAGCGGCTGCTACAGTAGTAGGCAAAACCTGAAGGGTCTGTACAGTAGACAAAAAGGCAAGCCCAGGGCTGACAGTTAACAAACTGGTTGGATTCGGCTAATGCAACTAAGGCAACAGCAACAGGGAGTCGCGGTGAAAACGCGTCCCTGTTTGCCGTCTATAAGGAGAAAAAACTTACCGGACAAAGAAACCAAGAAGTATCAATGAAGAGCTTGCGCAGCCTCTGGAGGGCGAGATAATCCTCGCAGCTCCGACCCAAAGTCTTGAGGCTACCAGAAGCAACAATAACAGTGTCTTAACACCTGATCAACCTGCATGCGAGAAGATGATGAAATATTTTTTTAATCATGGACATTTCACAATAAAAGCACAGATGAACCTGAACAACCTCTAAGAACAACCTTTGAATCTCCTTGGGGGAGACAATCATTTTCTGGAAGAAAAGATCCGTTTTGGTTCATCCAGTGGGACTTCCTTGCAAATCTCCCCGATTAGAAAGCCCTGATGCTGGGCAGTGACAGACCGGGTTCTGTGCTGGAGGTGAGGGAGGATAAGGAACAGTCCTTCTAGGACTTAATAAAAACAGCTTTTATTAAAGCCACCTAAAGACCCCTGCAGAGCATTCCTTATTTCTACCTTTTTTAACATTATTTTCTTTTCATTCCATTTGAAGTGAAAAAGCTTCCCCTCCATTCAAGCCCTGATTGGCTGCCGTGTCCCGATTTCATAGAAAAGTTCAGCTGGTTTCATCTTCAGCGATCACCGCTCCTCTCTCTCCATGTGGTGCTGCTGGTTGACACCTCAGCTCTAACTAGTAGCAGCAGGTGAGGGAGGGGCAGTGAACGCTCTCACCATGTGGAGTTCACCGCTGGACGCTTCAGCATGCAGTTTGCATTGAGATGGTTCCCACGTTCAATCTAAATGCACCTCAAAGGTCGGGTTCTAATTGATTGCTATGCAGCCAATTGGTCCTGCAGAAAGCCTTGGTTTCTAACTCAGTCGCTGTGCAAAGCTTGTTCCAGTGAAACACAAAGCTTTAGTGGGTATGAATACTTTTAAACAGTTTTATGAAGGCGATTCCCAGTTTTGCTCAGCTTGAAATAATCATCTTGATGCTTTTACATCAGATGTTTGAAATGCAGAAATAAAAAGCAGGAAGTGTGTTTGTGGTCACAGACGTTTATTCTGTCAGGCTAATGTGTCCCCGAGGTGGAGACTGTCTGAGATATACAACAGAAAAGAAAACATATAAGGTGCTGCAAAAACCCACAGCAGGCCACCCAATACTGGGACCATTAAGCTCCCATTATGCTGCTGTCGTCATGGTAACGGAGTGAGCGACAGATAGAGAATAACATTCAGAGAGCTGATGCAATATTTCTATATAAACAACATTCAACATTTCAAACGAACCATGGAGAGTCTGGTTCACTAAGCTGATCTTTGAGGAGGTGATGATGTCACACATGGCGGCGCTCGTTAGGAGCGTAATTAAAGATGGAGTCAGTCTGTTTGACTGGAAAACTGCAGCAGGATGTTCAACAGACTCAGCGACCTGCATCCATCAGTTCGAAGGATCCAACATGTTTCCGTCGCCTCCTGGATGAAGTTTTACATCCACTTGGTCTAGTTTAGGTAAATAAATGATGTTTAATGTTTTAATATTTAGCTGTTGAGTGAAAAATGAAGCTACAATAACTGATGTAGTTCTGGTCCAACAGGATGTGCTTCAGTGCTCAGGTTTGTTGCCTCGTGGTGACACATTGTTGTGCACAGTCTCACTGGCTGCTTCCAGTATTTAGAGGCTAATGAAATCAATTCCCAGATTTTTCTTTATTCTTTGCCTGCGTTGTTACCTGGGAAGAGCCTGTTTAACAGATCAAGACGTTTGGTTTCCTTTAGAAGAGGTTTGCTTAATGTGTTTCCGGGGCAACAAGCCGTCAGGCTGGTTTTCATTCCAGCTGAGCTACAGACAGAGAAACTTCTGAGCTTCATTGACACAAACGGAAACTTTCCCTTCGAAATAATCACCTGTGATGTCATAAAGTAAAAGATCAAAGTGGAGCAGAAGCCTAAATGTTGATCCCAAAACGCTGCTTCCAGTTTAGAGAGACCGACTAACAACAAACGTTACTGTGTTTCAATCTTCTCCTCTGGGAGTGCAGCTAAGTTCAAAGGTCAATAAAATGTTTTCCTGCTTCTGAAACAAACCATGAAAATAAACCAGATGAACGTCAAAAGCTGTTTATAAACTGATGCCAGTCTGAGCTAAGAGGCCCACGAGGAAAATGGCAGAAAGAAAGTCACATTTTCTAAAAATTAAATCTTCTCTGACCGAAAACTTAAATAACATTAATCATTAAGAAGGCTGTAACAATCTGGACCAGCCACCAGGGGGCGATGGGAGCGGCCGCTACACACTCATTATCCCCTCTCAGAAGCTTTTTTGTTCATTAGGTTCTAGTTCTGGCTTCAGGAAGTCAGAGCAGCTTTGATTAAATTCAACTTTTGTCTCCAAACAGATTAAATGATTGAATGAGAATATTTTGAATCAGTCGCCTGGTTTAGATCTGCTGCTGCGTCGCCTACTTTATGGATCATGGTTCCATGTTTCATTCTGATCTCCATTTCTCTCCTGCATTCAAACCCTATTTATTTGGTGTTATTGGGACAATTTGGAGGTGGGTGTCTGTTATTTTGACCCTGATGGACTCAGCGATTAAAAAATAAAACTTGCTGGTAAAGAGTCACAAATAAAACAAAAAATCAGCATAAATAAAAACAGGGAAAGTCAGTATTTCCTTTAAACATATACAAATAAATACTTATTTTGGTTTCCTTTCAAACTGCATCACCAAACTGTAAAAAGTATTAACTGTGTCTGCGTTTTCAGAAATCACTAATCCTGCTAGAGAGCATCAAAGTCCCCCCTGCCGCCGGGTGCATTGGTACGATCTGGTTTCAGCGATGCCGTCTCTGGGTCCTCTTCTGCACGCTCTGACTGTAGGAGCAGTTTACAATAAATATATACACAATTTCTGCAGCAGAAAGGAGCAAATGTGAGGCCGATGGAGAAGGGTCCTGGTTTATGTGCCACTCTTCTGCTCCCATTCCTGGACAACAAAAAGCACAAATCTGATTGGTTAATTTCATGCATAACTCTGAATGACTAAGTTTAAAATATATTATATTAATCTGCGCCTGATCTGATGCAAAGATAAATGTTTCCCATGAATTTAGGACAGAAGTCACTTCCTGTTTCTATGAACAAACTCTGCCTACTTGTAATACCCTGAGATCTCAGGTAGGCGGAGCTACAAATGCAGCCTGTTCCTAGTTTTCAGCTTCTTCCTAAAGTAAAGTTAAAGCAAAGCCTCCAGTGTGCTTTACTGGGATTGAACTGGCCAGACCATCACAGGACAGAAAACAAACATGGCCGCTCAGGATGCTTTGTTGCTACGTTCAGATCGCACGCTGCTAAAGCAGCAGAAGCAGCTGGTTCCCATGCAAATTAAATAGCTGATGCACATCAAGGTGCATCAAAAGGTCCTGCAGTGTCTAGAGCAGCAGGAGCAGCAGGAGCAGCAGGAGCAGCGCAACGTCAGCTTCTGATCATCTGACGCTCTGCTCAAGCAGCAGCTGCTGGTGTTGGAAACATTTAACTTTAGCTGCTGGACATCAACCAATGAGAGAAGCTGATCTGGGAGCTGGCAGGGAGTCAGACGCAGCACTGCTGATGCAGAGCATATGATCACTCCTCTGAAACAGTTTATTAACGCCTAAATTAACTTCAAATGTAGAAACCTGCCGGCAGAATATGTTGGCTTTTATTATCCTGCTGCCTGCAGTTTGTAGCACAGACCTGAAAAACGCTAACATCTACTTCCAGCCGCCACCAACAGGAGGGGGAAACCCTGGAGAGGCGAGCGGGCCTGAGGCAGCTGCTGCTGGGGATTCCCAGTGACAGCGCAGCGCCGGTATGTGGGGGTCTGAGCGGCTCCCACAGAGAAATAATCTTTGAAGACAGGATGGTAATCTGGATGAACTGATTGCACAGACCATGTTTTCAGGAGGACTTTCTCACTTCAACATAGATTCTAACTACTTTCTACCCACTGATCACAGCTAATATAGCAAAGCTGCTCTCTGGCATCGAACACAGGAGCAGCAGAAGCATCTGGACTCACTTTACTGGACGCGCTTGAGGAGCCTAATTTTGATATGTTCCATATCTGCTTTACTGTTCATGTGTCTGACTTCCTGTCAGGCTCATCTGTTTATTACAAATGTTGTTAATTTGCTCCATCTTGAAAAATATAAACAGGAGGGCTGTGAATCCGACCGCAGAGCTAATGGGATCTGGAAAGATTTCTGTTGGCTGAAATGGTCCAGAACTAAACAGAATCACCTGAAGGCCAAAATCGACCTACGGATAGAAATATGTCAGTCTGATGATGGTTGCTGAGGTTTGCATGTTTCTGTCCTACTCTGCTTTTGTGGTTTTATTCTCAGAGTGTCTAAAAACTGTGACCTGATTCGGCTGCAGAGACAAGAAACGCCGCAGCTATCAGGTCCAGTCAGCCAAGGTCGGTGACTTGATTTTATTTTGAAATTCAACGGGACAATCTTCAGTTTGGGCAGAAGCTCGATTCTGCCCAAAGTTCTTCTTTTAATTTCACAGCTTTTGTCCAAGCGGCCTGAACGCGCCGCACCGTGGCGGACGCTGGCGTTCACATTGATTTGGATCAATTGGGCTCAGGTTAAACTCCGGTTAAACTCAGGTTAAACTCAGCTGGGTCCCAAACAGCGGCTGCTGTGACCAATCAGCCTGCAGCGTGAACTCTGACCTTTGCCTTCCTGAGGACGTGTCCTCTGACCGTCGAGGGCTTCTGGTTGCTCTGCTGCCGGCGCAGCAGCGATGCGCTGTTGACCGGCAGTGTGCAGGATTCCGTGTCGCTAGTGTCGCAGCTGGAGAAGGGGGAGGACTCCTGTGTTCGCCGCATCACGGCTGGAGACTGCGGCAACATGGAGGGACAATATTACATCGAGGCGTGAAGGAAGCAGAGGATGGGAAAGAAGGAGAGTTCCGACCTGTGGGCCGAAGGCAGCGGCTTTGGGTTCGATGGTCAGGCCCAGGGTCACACCCCCGCTCAGCGCTTTCTTTAGACTCTCCTTGACCTCGGTCAGCTCCAGCTCCAGGTTAACCCTCTCCTCCTCCTTCAGTTTGCACTGGTCCTCCACCTTCTTCAAGCGCTCCACCAGCGCCGCCTGCGAACGCTTGCCTGATGGGTTCAGGAACATCAGTTGAACAAAGTCACTGAGATCAGACTTTCCTTCCTTGCAGCGTTCTGACCTGCAGCAGCCTCCACAGCAGCACGCAGGTCTGTCCTCTCCTTCTTCAGCTGGGTCAGATGGTTCCTAATCTCCTGCTTCCTCTTCATCAGCTCTTCCTCTTTGGCCTGCAGCCGCTTGGCGTCGGCCTCAACGCGGTTCTTGCCATACTTGCACTGTTCTGCATCTGCAGGACAAAGAGGAGCTATGATGTCATCAGAGCAGAGCCAACCCTGAGTCTCTGAAACCGGAGCTGTGGGAACTGTTCTCTCTGAAGGCAAACTGGATCTACTGGAGACGTCGCTACTTACTGGAGCTGTTACGTTTCACAGATGCCGTCTCGTTGGTCCCAGTAGCGCCACTCTTCTTGGTCTGACTCTTTGGGTCCACTTTCTGCTTGGAGGCAGCGCCGTTGCTGCTCGCCGCTTTCTTCCCTCTGAACTACGAAAACAGGAGGAGGGACATGTTCAGACAGAAGCTCTGCCGTCATGTTAAGACTGGAAACCATCCTTCAGAAACCGAGTTTAGTGGGGGTAGCGTCATGCTGAGGGACAGATTTTTGGTGCAGGGCTAGATGACAAAGATGTTGTTTAACTTAATAAAGCTGATCTTTAGTCCTAAAGAAACCATAATATGGGATAGCGCTAAAATACTCCAGCTGGCTAACTTAATTAGCTACTAGGTAGGATGATTAGAAGTCTCTAATGACTGAAAACAGTATTTTCTGCTCATACATTATCCTATTTTATCACTTTAATTTGCTGTAGGCTTAAAGATGGAGACCTTAAAGATCCCATGATGTTAGCTCCACAGCTTCTTCAATCTACTTGTTCTACATCTATGTTTATCTCCTACCATCTCTGGAAAACAGATCTAACGGGGTCACATCCAGTTGTGTCCAAAATTGATCTTTGCAGGGAAAGGGTAAACCATACTAACTAACCCATACTGTATTAACTAACCCACGCTATCCTGACTAACCATCCCAAACTATCCCATGCTAACTAATCTGTACTGTACTAAGTAACCTACATTGTCCTGACTAACAATACAAACTAAACCATACTAACTAACCCGTACCATACTAACCATACCAACTAACCTGAACTAACTAACCTGTACGGTACTAACCCCTACTGTCCTGACTAACCATACATACTAACCTGTATTAACTAACCAGTACTGTACTAACCATCCCATAATGTCCTGACTATCCATAATAAATCACCCATAATAACTAATCAGTGCTTTACTAACTAATTATCCCTTAATATCCAATTCAATTCAATTCAATTCAGTTTATTTATATAGCGCCAAATTCACAACACATGTCATCTCAAGGCACTTTACAGTTCAACCAGATCATACAGTCAAATTGATACAAAGTTTTCTATCTAAGGAAAACCAGTTGATTGCATCGACTCATTGACTCAAATACAATCCCCCACACTAAGCATGCTTGTAGCGACAGTGGAGAGGAAAAACTCCCTTTTAACAGGAAGAAACCTCCAGCAGAACCAGGCTCAGTGTGAGTGGCCATCTGCTGAGGCCCACTGGGGTTCAAGGAGACAGAAGCAGAGATACAAAAAGCAGCTGTAAAAGGCGGGCCCCGTCCAGGAAACACGCAGCCAGGCAGACGAGCTCCAAGGCAGCTCCCATGCCAGAGGACGAAGAGAGCACATCCACTCAGTCACGGTCAGAGAAACAGGACCACACTGGAAAACAGGCCGATCTCCAACATCTATAAACAAGGGTGTTGATAGAAGCAGCACAGCTGATGTTTCTTTCCAGGATGACGTCACAGCCAAACAGGAACAGACGAGGCAAAGCTACTCTGAGGAAAAGCAGAGAGAGCAGAAGGTTAGAGATTGAACTAACAGATTCTGCAGAATAGGAGAACAGAGAGAGAATGAAGCAGAATGATGAAATGGGGGTCCCTATGTCCTCCAGCAGTCTAAGCCTATAGCAGCATAACTATAGAGATAGCTCAGGTTAACCTGAGCCACTCTAACTATAAGCTTTATCAAAAAGGAAAGTTTTAAGCCTAGCCTTAAAAGTAGACAGGGTGTCTGCCTCACGGACTAAAACTGGTAGTTGGTTCCACAGGAGAGGAGCCTGATAACTAAAAGATCTGCCTCCCATTCTACTTTTAGAAATTCTAGGAACCATTAGTAAACCTGCAGATTGAGAGCGAAGTGCTCTGTTAGGAACATAAGGAACAATCAGATCTCTGATATAAGATGGAGCTTGGCCATTTAAGGCTTTATATGTGAGAAGGAGGATTTTAAATTCTATTCTTGATTTAACAGGAAGCCAATGAAGAGAAGCCAGGATAGGCGAGATATGATCTCTCTTTTTCATTTTCATCAGAACTCTGGCTGCAGCATTTTGGATCAGCTGAAGGCTTTTAACTACAGTTTGTGGACTTCCTGATAGTAAAGAATTACAATAGTCCAGCCTTGAAGTAACAAATGCATGGACTAGTTTCTCAGCAACATCCCTGGACAGGATATTTCTAATTTTTGTAATGTTCCTCAGATGAAAGAAGGAAATTCTAGAAACCTCTTTGATATGGGATTTAAATGACAGGTCCTGATAAAAAATAACACCAAGATTTTTTACTTTATTATCTGAAATCAGTTTAATCCCATCCAAATGAAGTGACTGACTAATCGGCTTCTTTTTCAGAGACTCTGGTCCAAAGACTATAACTTCTGTTTTGTCTGCATTCAGGAGCAGAAAGTTAAGAGTCATCCAGGTTTTTATGTCTTCAAGACATGCCTGTAATCTATGTAATGGGTTAGCTTCATCTGGATTATAGACAGATATAGCTGGGTTCATCAGCATAACAGTGGAAATTAATCCCATGCTGTCTAATAACTCTACCAATTGGGAGCATGTATAAAGTAAAGAGAATTGGTCCTAGCACTGATCCCTGTGGTACTCCACAGGTAACCTTTGAGCGTGTTGAAGATCTATCATTAACATGAACAAACTGAATTCGATCAGATAGATAAGATTTAAACCAGTCTAGTGCTGTTCCTTTAATTCCAACAAAATATTCAAGTCTTTCTAAAAGAATATTATGGTCAACTGTATCAAATGCAGCACTAAGATCCAACAGGACGAGCACAGATACAAGTCCATTATCTGAGGCCATGAGAATATCATTAGTGACTTTCACCAGAGCTGTTTCAGTGCTATGATGAGCTCTAAAGCCAGACTGAAACTCTTCAAAAAGTTCATTATGGTGGAAGTGATCGCAAACTTGTTTGGCAACTACTTTCTCAAGAATTTTGGATAAGAAAGGAAGATTGGATATAGGTCTATAATTGACCAAGTCATCTGGGTCAAGAGACGGTTTCTTAAGCAGAGGTTTAATTCCAGCAACCTTAAAAGCTTTAGGTACATATCCCTGTAACAGAGATAGATTAATCACATCTAAAATGGAGGAGGAGATCAAAGGGAATACCTCCTTAAATAACCTGGTTGGAACTGGATCTAACATACAAGTTGAAGGCTTAGATGAAGACAATAATTTTGCTAATTCAGAGAGTTCAACTGGATCAAAGCAGTCTAAACCCGGTTCAGATTCCATGACTACCTCAGGTACAATCGCGGATAGAGGAGTGCTTATGATCTTATTTTTAATAAGATCAATCTTATTTATAAAGAATCCCATAAAATCATTGCTGCTAAGAGCAGGTGGAATGGACGGTTCAACAGAGCTATGGCTCTGGGTGAGTTTGGCAACTGTATTAAAAAGAAATCTAGGATTATTCTTATTCTCCTCTATTAATGAGGAGAAGTATGCTGCTCTTGCTTTACAAAGAGTCCTCTTATACAGCAGTAAACCATTTTTCCAGACTAGGAAGGAGTCTCGCAGGCCTGTGGAGCGATATTTTCTCTCCAGTTTCCTAGCATTTTGCTTCAAAGTACGCAGCTCTGCATTAAACCAAGGAGCAAGCTTTCTATTTTCAACGGTTTTCATTTTCAAAGGAGCTCTGTTGTCTAAGGCAGTACGCAGAGAACTAGCAACCCCATCAACAAAATCATCAACCTGTGAAGGGGAATAAGCTAAGCTTTTGCACTCTGCAGCACTGCTCAGTGACACAGAGGAGAGAGAACGTGAAGCAGATTCTTTAAAATTTATAACTGCACTATATGATAAAGATCTACTAAAATTGAACCTTCTTTTGGGGGAGGAGAACTCTGTTAAAGTAATCCTGAAGGTTATTGGAAAGTAGTCAGAGAGGACAGGGTTGTGAGGAAATACTGTTATTTCTTCACATTCTATGCCGTATGTCAGCACAAGATCCAAAGTATGAAGATGAGAATGCGTGGGACTATTCACATTTTGAACAAAGCCAATAGTGTCTAAGATAGCATTAAAGGGTGCTCTTAAGCTATCGCCTTCAATGTCAGCATGGATGTTAAAATCTCCCACTATGATGACCCTGTCAGTATTTAATACCAAATCAGAAAGGAACTCTGAAAACTCATCTAAAAATTCAGAGTAAGGACCTGGTGGACGATACAAAGTTACAAAAAGAAGAGGTTTTCTTGCCTTGAAATTTGGATCAGGGAAATTAAGGGTTAAATGTTCAAAAGAGTTGTAGGTATTAACTGTTTTGGGAGTAATCAGTAAGTCAGACTGGAAGATTGTTGCTACTCCTCCTCCTCGCCCAGAACTTCTGGGGATGTGAAAATTTAAATAGCTTGAAGGAGTTGCCTCATTTATGCTCACATAATCCTCTTGCTGCAGCCAGGTTTCTGTAAGGCAAAACAAGTCAATGTGATTATCACAAATCAAGTCATTAACTAGTAGACTTTTAGAGGAAAGAGATCTGATGTTAAACAGACCGCATTTAATTGTTTTAACTTTTTCCCCAATTGGAGTTATTTTGATTTTAATTAGATTATCATGATTTACTCCTTTGGGAATCTTTGCTAATTTATTAGATTTTGGTCGTGGGCAAGACACTGTCTGGATGGAGTAAAGAGTGGGTAACAGTAGAGAAGCTGCAGAGATGTGTGTTAAACTACAACTCTGCTTCCTGGTCTGCACCCTGGGTGGTCAGGGTTTTGGAGGACTAATAAATGTGGCCAGATTCCTAGAAAGAAGAGCTGCACCATCCAAAGTGGGATGGATGCCGTCTCTCCGAATCAGACCAGGCTTTCCCCAAAAGGATTGCCAATTATTAATGTAGCCCACGTTGTTTTCAGGACACCACCTAGACAACCAGCGGTTGAATGACGACATGCGGCTAAACATGTCATCACTGATCAGATCAGGGAGGGGACCAGAGAAAATTATGGAGTCCGACATTTTTTTGGCAAACTTACACACCGAAGCAACACTAATTTTAGTGACCTCCGATCGGCGTAACCGGGTGTCATTACCACCAGCGTGAATAACAATCTTACTGTATTTAACCTTA